GGCATGTGGGGAGCTGGCTGTGGGAGGGGACGGTGAGCTGGGAGCTGGCTGTGGGAGGGGACGGCGTGTGGGGAGCTGGCTGTGGGAGGGGACGGCATGTGGGGAGCTGGCTGTGGGAGGGGACGGTGAGCTGGGAGCTGTGGGCCGGTAGCAGCTGTTACTGACCCCCCCCTGGGCATTTCCATTTCCTGCCCTCACAGCGCAGGGCCTCGGCCATACGGCACGCAAGACACCCAGCTCTCCCATGCTCAGCCTCCCATTCCCGTGCTGGCCCGGACCCGACCGTCCCCAGCTGGGCTCCTGGCCCAGAGCGGCAGCGGTGGTGCTCTGGCCCCAGCTTTGGACTGGGCCCCAGGAGGAACCCTGCGGTGTGCCAGACCTGCAGCGAGTCTCGCTCTCACAGCGCCACCTCCCCCTTGGACGGGCCCGCTGGCCTGCAGCATGGCACATGCATTTCAGCAAGTCCAGCTGGAGCCGTGCCCGCTCTGCAGGGATTCAGGCGCCTCGCCTGCAGCGTTGCCCGACCTGGCGGGTGTGTGTTGACTGGGCCACGGCAGAGGAAGCCCTTAGGCCCTCTAGTGAGGGGACAGCTGATGCCTCGCTCATCCTGGTGAGCCCCGAGCCACACAGGGAGCTGGCTCAAGCACTCACCTCTCATCAAACCCCCGGTGATACCCCTGACCCCTTCTTGCCCTCAGCTCTCCTCCCCCACCTCCCCTCACCCCCTCCTCTGCCCACTACCAGGGGATGCTGCACAGCTCACCTGCTGCGCGGTGGGGGAATCCACAGCCCTGTGGGTCACCGGTTGCTAGGCATCAAGATCTGGGCAATTGGATTTGCTGTTGCCTTTTCACATGCTCTGTTGCTATGGGGACCAAGCCCCCGACAGAGGTGACACCCAGACCTGGGTCCGAGCTGGCACTGGGAGCAAAGCGGCTGTGTAACCATGTGGAAGATCAGGGAAACTGAGGCACAGACCAGGCTCTCAAAAGCGTCCCTATTTCAGCGTGAGCCCTTGGGGCCAGGCATCAGCATTTACCAGGCCCAGCACTTGCATGCCTGCAAGCCATCTCAGCAGCAGCTTCGCCGGCCAATCCTCTGGCCAGAGCGCCGGTCCCAGGCCCTGGAAGCTGGGAATGCAGCCTCCACAGCTCTTCCACCTGCACTCTGGGAATCCCCTGCCACATCATGCTGGGCCGGGCATTGGGGAAGTGCTATTGCCACTCACTGCCCCACCATTGCTGCAGCCCGCAGCTCAGTCCCAGAACCCTCCCCCATTCCTGTCTCCTGCTGCCCCCTGGGGCTCCTGGCTGCCCCCCCACCCTCCCCGCTGCTTGTTCCCTGGGAATTTGTTTCCATGCAGAGGGGGGCTGGGCAGCAGGAGATCCAGCTCTCTCTCTCTCTCTCTCATATAGCAGTCTGGCCTGAGCTCTAGGGCTGTACTGTACTGATCAGAGCCAGCCTGGGCAGAAAGCATTGCACTCTAGGGATGTCTGCTGCTGGGCAGGGCAGCTAGCGGCTCAGGCCAGCCCTCCTCTCTCCAGGCTGGATCGCAAGCGGAGAGAAGCAGCCAGTGCCCATGGCAGACACAGGAGATTCAGCTGCCTCACCCACTAGCAGACTACAGCACCCCCCTCCTCCCCCCTGTGGTCAGTTGCTGGAGGCTGACAGCCATGGAGGAGCCCAGGTGCTGTAAGCCCCATCCCTGGCACATGTGGAGGAGAGGGGAGGTATGTGGCAGGGTGCATGTTCAGAATGCTTTTTTTTTTGGCAAGTGTCACCCTGTTGACTCATGTAGCGTGTGGCCAGCAATGCCCCTACATCCCTTTCTGCAGCCTCCTTCCTAGAGACTCCCAACGTCCAGCCCTCAAGGTTGTAAAGATCACACTACGCCTCCCCACTACAGCTCATTCAAAACCTCATGATGGGACTTCAAAGTTCAGAATGAACTACGTGAGCTTTTCAACTAATGCATCAGGGCCAAGGGCTGGGAGTGGGGGCCACACCGAGGAACTTAAGAGTGGCCGGAGCTAGGGAAACACACAAGGAAGAACAGAGAATGGGGCAAGAAACACCAGAAAGAGCCTCGCTGCCCAAGACCAGTGTGTTTTCTCACGGGCGATACTGGACGGCAGTATATAAATAAGCAGTGTTCTCGCTGCAGCTAGTTACACCTCTTCTAAGGAACAACAAGGGTTCTGTTTGCATTTTCTCTAAAATCTCCGTCGAGTCCCACTGGCTAGAACCAGGCAGAGCGTGGGGTAGGGGGAGAAAGACTGGAGGTTATTTCAGCTGGACACTATTGAGGTTCCCAGTTTCAGGGCCCATAGACAAAAGGGCCTCGAGGAATTGCCCCAAGGGCATTAGAGCAACAAGGACAGTTTGGCTGCGTCCAGATTGGCATGATTTTCGAAAAAAGTTTTCCGTTAAAAGCATTTTCGGAACAGAGCGTCTAGATTGGCAGGACGCTTTTCCACAAAAGCACTTTTTGCTGAAAGGCGTCCATGCCAATCTAGACGCGCTTTTTTGCGCAAAAATGGCCATCGGGGATTTTTTGATCGGGGCTTTTTTGCGGAAAACAAATCTGATCTGTCTACACTGGCCCTTTTGCGCAAAAGGGACTTTTGCCTGAACAGGAGCAGCATAGTATTTCCGCAAGAAGCCCTGATTTCTTACAGTAGGACGTCAGTGCTTTTGCGGAAATTCAAGCGGCCAGTGTAGACAGTTGGCAAGTTTTTCTGGAAAAGTGGCTGATTTTCCGGAAAAACTGGCCAGTCTAGACACAGCCTTTGGGATCGAGAAAGCCTGCCTCCAGAGAAGAGGCTAAAGGAGTGGAAGTCGAGATGATCGCTTCGATGATCCACCCACCGGGGGAACGATTTCTGGTAGCAGGGGGTTCTTTACTGCAGCACAGACTCAATGCCTGGGAGCTGGAGGCAGACCAGAAATAAGACACAAATGTGGGGCTAGTTTTATAACCGGAGCGGTCTCACGCTATTTTACACACAGCTGGAGGGGAGGGCCGACAGGCTGGATTACTGGGTAACCAGAGGCTTCTTACTTTCCAATTGGTCTTACTGGCAGGGCCCTGGTTCCTTCTACAACCCAGCAGTAGTCAAATACCTCAAATGTGGAGGCCAGACCATGCTTTGGGTCTACACTGTGGTACAGTCTCCTCGGGCCACACACAGAATGCCATTTAACATTAGGGAACATGCACTGGATTGGAACCCAGGTGACCAGTTCAACTCCCCTTTTCCACTGGCTGGTTTCTATGCACCTGTCAGGCCGCCTTATTGACCAAGGCTGCAGACCCTGGAGAGAGCCAACTACTCTTTCTCTTATTTGACAGAGGTTACAGAGGCTGCACGCAATCACCACAACTCGGATAAAACCCGAGATTCGTCCACTTACCACACAACAGAGGCTGCACGCAATCACCACAGCTCGGATAAAACCCGAGATTCGTCCACTTACCACACTACATTGGACAGGTTGTCTGGAACCACTAGATCTCTCTCTCTCTCTCTCTCTCTCTCACACTCACACTCACACACACAATCAACCACAGGAGTGCCAATTCCTACCACTCTCCTGCTGTCTACAAAAAGCACTTGGTGCCCAATTGTTAGATATGTTCCTTCAAAGGGGAGAGGGCTGCAGCCTCCTGTCGGTGCACAATCCCCACTGCTGACGCAGGGAGGGAGGTTGTTTTTTACCAATATTTTAAGAGTTAGAGAGAAACTTTAAGGCAGAATTCTGCATTCTCTCCACATTGGACCCCCAACGTCAGATCACGCTGGCACTTCCTACACCGCTCCCCACACATACCAATGCCAACACTTTGCTGCACTGAGTGGGCCATGTCTGGGCTTGGCAACGCTGTCGGGGCAAGAGGGCTGCTCCGGCACCACACATCTACCCAGTGCTGAGACCCAGCGGCCTGGCCATGCGACCAACGGCCTATGATGGAATTTCTGCGTAGCAAAACGCAGAAGGGCTCTGCAGACAAAGGGATGGTGCCATACTTAAGAAAACGACCTGGGACCCAGGACAGCCAGGTTGTAGGGCACGTCCCTTACAGCAAAAGTTTAGGAGCTAATTTAACTTATGCAACATAGTTTTAGCAACACAAGCAATGCACAGAAAGCTGCACGAGTGCTGCCGGATGCAGGGGGAGTTTGATGTAAGATTCAGGCCATAAAAACAGCCCAACAAGGCCAAATCAAAGGTCCCTCTAGCCCAGTATCCTGCCTCTGGCTGTGGCACATGCCAAATGCTTCAGAGGGAATGAACTGAACAGGGCAATTATCGACTGATTCCTCTCCTGGCATCCAGCCCCAGCTTCTTCAATATTTAAGGATACCCACAGCATGAGGTCACATTCCTGCCTGTCTTGGCTAAGTCACTGATGGATCCTCCATAACTTACCTCCTTTTTGTTTTAAACCCTGCAATACTTTTGGTCCATACAACATCCCCTGGCAATGAGTTCCGCAGGTTGATTGTGCACTGGGTGAAACTCTCTCATGTTTGTTTTAAATTTGCTGCCTATTAATTTTATTGGGAGAACTGTGGCTTGTGTGTTATGTGAAGGGGTAAATGACACTTCCTTAGTCACCTTCTCCAGTCCATCCATGATTTTATAAGCTTGCTGGGCAGTAAGACCGTACTTGCAATTTTGCCATAGCCCCACTGATTTTGTCCACAGTGGATGCGCTTACCATTTCCCCGTAAAGGCTGAAGTTACAGTAAGACAGTACGGTGGTGTTAGAGGTCGGCTAGGACCTCAGGAAAGTACATCAGCTGAGGGGTGCACAAGGAACCCAGAATCAACTGAGCCCAATCTGCAGGATTCTTCATTCTGGTTTTTCCCCTCGTGTACCTGCAAAGCCTCCTCCAAGTCTAATTTTGTCTGCCAAGTGGAGGGATGCTTGCCTGAAGCACATAGCACCCCATAATTGATTCCCCTGCTGCATGGACACAAAGTTAGAGAGAAGGTTTGGCCCTTATTGAAGATTGGAGGTGGGCCGGTGCAGGCCTGGGTCGGAACTTTATTCCGCTCAGACTCTGTCAAGACAGACGGCTACAACCCTTGATTCCAACACGAAAGGGCAGAGATGCAGGACAGACAAGACGTGGGGCTGCTGGCTGTGGCCACAGTCCAAGGCAAAAACTCGCCAGAAGTGGCTGAAACCCCACCACTCAGAAAGCTGGCTGCAGGCCCCACCCCAGCAGTCAGACGCGCTTGCGGAAGGGCAGTCTGCGCTTGTCCTTAATGGCATTCCTCTTCCTCTTCTTGCCTAGGAAGCTCTCCAGCTTCCCCTTCCCCTTCAGGGCCTTGTACTTCTCAGCCAGCTCCATTTTCCACTTCTCAGCTGTGGAAAGCCAAAGGACAAGGAGGTTTGTACTCCAAACCAGCACCACCCTCTTAGAGCCACTTCTGAGCTGCCCTGCCCACTCCCTAGCCCCAGCCGATGGCTCGTCTGCCACGTACATTGTGACGACATGCTTCTTCCAGGCAGCCCATGAGCCACCGGCCCCCCAGCGATAGACAACAGCTCTGCACACATGCACAATCACCCCCTCCCCCCTTTGGGCATACACTGGTCACAGTAACACCGCAGTTAAGCCTAGAGGCCCCTGCCTTGACACCAAGGCTCCACTGTGCCAGGTGCTGTACACACACGAAGGGACAGCCCCAAAGAGCTCGCCATCGAAACAGATGACTACCGGCCCCAGGGCAGTGAGATGCAAAGGCACAGGGAGCCCATGAAAGAGCAGGGAGCTGAGCCAGATCTCCTGAATCCCAATCAAGCACCTTGCCAATGGGCGCTGCCTTCCCCTCTCAGACGCTGGCACAGGGACCGTGAGTAACCTCTTTAAAAGCATCGTCTGGCCTATTGCCAAGGAATGAGGTTCAGGCTCTTTGGACGGGTTTACCCTCACCTGTCTAACATGCTTGGCACAACAGGAGCGCTAGGGAGGCCAGCGCCTGTTCCGCTCTTCTCAAACAGCCTGTCACGGCGCTGCTGCTAGATTCCCCCTCCTACGCCAGCAGTTAAACTATCTCCCCAGCCTAGGGGGGTTTTCTTATACAGGAGCTTTTTCAATCTGCTCACTAGTACCGAGGTGCAGGGACCAAACAGTGATGGCAAACTGTCAGCAACAGGTGCACCTCCTGGGGGACACAGCGCCACAGCTTCCTGAACTTACATTTCTTCAGGTAGAAGGGCTTCCTTCCCTGCAGGGCCTGCTCCCTCCGCTCTCTCTTCAACACCAGCTCTTTCTCCCTCTGCCTCTGCTGCTCCTTCTGAGCCTCCTCTTGCTGCGTCTGGGAAGCAAAGCCAGAAGCACGTCACGGATGTCTAGGCCGTGCTCCAGGCAGCCACACCGGAGCCATGCGTGCTTGCCAGCCGCTGCCACCTCCCTCCCATTGGAGCAGCGAGCTGGTACCTAAGACACTAACTCACCATGCGCTTTAGGAGCTGCTGCAGTTTCTCTCGCTGCTCCACATTCTTGCTTTTCTTCAGCTGCTTCTGAACTATCTGCAGGAGAGAGCAATACCCGGTGAGTCCCACTGTGGGCCACCCTCTCCTTTGAGGCCGGTGTGATGGGCCCTTAGAAGATGCCCTGCTGAAGCAGACTCTTCTGCCCCAGCACAAACAAAGCAAGCAGTGTCACCTCTTTCTCCCTCTTCTTGAGAGTATCCAGGAAACTGTAGGTCTTCTCAAACACAGCTGGGTCGTACTCCCCAGACAGGTCGTCAAAGCGAGGGTCTCTCTGCACCTGCACCGAGTGGGGGAGGGGTTAGAGCCAAGAGTAGAAAACCTGAATGCATCTTGCTCGCTCTCCCTATCTGGCCAAGAGCTATTTCCTGTATCTAGGTCTCTTGCTATGGGCGTTCATTTTTTCATCAGAGATCTGGAAGAAAACATGAAAGTCAACGATAAAGTTTGCAGATGCAAACATTAGGGAAGTGGTAAATAATGCAGAGCAGGTCACTGTTACAAAGCACGCCGGGGCACATACGAGAGCAAGCAAACACTGTATTTTAACATGGCCCAGCATAAAGTCATACAACCAGGAACAAAGAATGCAGGCCATGCCTATGGGATGAGGGCCTCTGACACAGTGACTCTGAAAACGAGTTGTGCGTCAGACAATCAGCCGTGGCAAATGCAAACCGAGGATGAATCAGGGGAGGAATGTTAATGTCATGACACAAGGCACTGGACAGACCTCCTTTGGAATTCTAGTCACCTACAGTCAAGAAAGACGAATTCAAACTGGAGCAGGGGCGGAGAAGAATGATTAGGATGATCTTACGAAAGGAGGCAAGGCTCAGAGGGGATAGGATTATGTACTGTAAATACATCAGGGAAGATAAAGACCTATTTAAGCTAACAGACAATACTGGCACAAACACAAATGGGGGTAAACTAGCCTTGAACAAGTCCAGGCTGGAAATTGGATGATAGCTGACCATCAGTAGTGTGTGTTTCTGGAACAGCATCCCAGTAAGAACTGATGGAGCAAATCACTTGAGAGCTAAACAAAGGGAGGCGTGTGATTGTGTGAGGAGGTTGCTTGTGACTGCCGGTAGAAAGGCATAGTAGCCCCGGCGGCCCATCTGATTTTCCTGAAATCCCACACTTCAGGACTTCAGCTGACCACATGCAGAAGATTGGACAAGATTCTACTTGACTCTCACTTGTTTGGGTCTTTTTATCTTCTTCCACTGCAGCATCAGAGAAGGCCACGGGTGGAGATGGGACACTGGATGAAACGGGCAGGTGGTCTGAGGTGGCTCCAAGCAGTTTCTTTCTCTGTTGCCTGACTGGTTGGTTCTTGCTCACAGCCTCAGGGTCTAACTGATCATCATACATGGATGTCAGGAAGGAATTTTCCCCCAGCGCACTCTGACAGTGACCTTCAGGGGGTTTCACCTTCCTCTGCTGTCTCTTGCCAGATCTATCTGGGTGTATCTTACTGGTCCCCACAGAGGCAGGAAATGGTTTTAGGCACTGAGGATACTGCCTATGTCAAGTAACAGTCTAGTCTCCTGCAGGCTGCATCCCTTGTCTAATTTCAGTTGTCGGGTCTAGTACGGGTGCTGCGCAGTGTAGGTGCCCTGTGACGTACAGTAGGTCAGATGAGATGATGTTGTGGTACCTTCAGGCCTTAAACTCTGAGCTCTCAGTGCGCTGCTGTGGCCAACAAGGCTAATGAGACCCTGGGGCATACAAACAGGGGACTGGAGTAGGAGCAGAGAGGTTATTTTACTTCTGTATTTGGCCCTGGTGTAATCACTGCTGGAACCCTGGGTCCAGCTCTGGGACCCACAATTCAGGAAGGCTGTTGCTAACTGGACAGGGGTCAGAGAAGAGCCATTAAAGGCTTAAGCTTCTCTTTGTTACACTAAACAGATGGCGCCCGAGAAGACGGGTTTCTAATCCTTTAATCATTCTTGTGGCTCTTCTCTGATCCTTCTTCAATTTATCAACATCCTTTTTGAACTGTGGGCCCCAGACCTGGACATAGGCTTCCCACAGCAGTCACACCAGTGCCAAAAACAGATACAATGACCCCAGCTTTGACTCATGACTCCCATTTATGCATCCCAGGATTTCATTAGCCCTCTTGGCCACTGCAGCACACTGGGAGCTCATGTCTGGCTGATACCCAGCAGGATTCCCAAACCTTTTTCCAAGTCATGGCTTCCCAAAATACAGTATGGGGGCCTCTACTCTGGGTTCCTAGTGGCACACATTAGCCATAACAACACACATTGTTTGTGAGAGACCAAAGCCTACAAGTGATCCAGATTGCTCTGAATCAGTGACCTGTCCTCTTCGTTATTTACAACTCTCCCGATTTCGGTATTCTCTGCAGTCTTTCCCAGCAATGACTTTATGCTATCGTCCAGGTCGCTAACAGAGATTTTAAGTAGTACAGGGCCAAGAACAATACCTGAGGGCACCCACGATGATTCCCTGCTTACAATTACATTTTGAGACCTATCAGTTAGGTTGTGGCAGATTCTCCACCACCGGCAATTTTAACGTGTAAGAATCTCATTCAGAGCAACGCTACAGCCTACATTATGTAGGGGATCAGACTGGATGACCACAGTGATCCGTCCTGGCCTTAGAATTGATCCATCTAGGACTAGCTGGAGCAGCACCATTTCCTCCACATATCTACTTGCAGCATCAAACTTGCTCCGCAAAGCCTCAGAGGTTGGTGGGTCCATGCCATTCCCACAGGCTGCCATCTGGGTCGCAGCCCCTTGTGCTGCCTCTGCCACACACACCTCATGTCCCTCCGCAGCCCCCAAAGGAACCAACTCCTACCCTGGGAGAGAGCACTTACTGTCTTTTTAACAGAAACCACTTGGCGCAGAAAGGGGACCCGTTTCTTGGCAGAAATCTCCAGGGGCCTGAGGAAGAAAACAAAACACGTTAGAAAGAGAAAGGAGGCAGCCACCCGGAGAAGTCCTTGTCTGCAGTGGGCTGGGGTGCGCTGCAGGCAGGGGTCTTCCGGCCTGGCCAGAACACCCTCCCCACCTGCCCACCCTTTAATCGGTTAACTGGTTAACCATCACATTTAACTGGTTAACCAATTAAACAGGATTTCACATCCCTAATGGCTATCCATGTGGCAAAGGGACAGACCACTCCCAGGGAAACACGACAAAGGATCTCTCGTGTGCCATGCTAGCGGCTCTGATCCACCTGGATGACCCAGAAGACACCTTGAGGGGCTCTCATCATGCTTGCAGGGGATCCCAGGCTGTGCACACATGCTGCTGTTGCCCAGAAAGGGCTCCGGGACACCTTTACCCCTGTTTGCTAGGTTGCAGCCTGGTCCTAGGTTTTGTATAGTTCGATGGCTTCTTCCCACTAGTCATCTGCTGATACGCTTTGATTCCGATGCTGCTCCGCAGCTGCAGCAGTTCCTCAAAAGACATTAAGGATAGTTCTGGCAAAGAGAAAACAAAGAGGGACTCAGCTTCACAGTAGCCAGACACACACTTCCACCCTAACAGCCCCCAAAGCCTGATGTACTGGAATCCTTGCTGTACAAAGGATACAGGAAAAGCTTCAGAGGGGGTAGCCAAGTTAGTCTGTAACTGGAAAACCAACTAATTGCCTAGCAGCACCTTAAAGACTAATAAAACATGTAAATGGGATCATGAGCTTCTGTGGGCACAGCCCACTTCTTCAGATGACCCAAGGGCAGCTGCAATGCCGCCACTCACAAAACACTCCCACCCCCAAGCAGAGGAGCAGCCAGAAGGTCAGGCTGACCGACTGACTCTTGAGTTTCTCCCTCCTAACCATCCCATGAAGCATTTCCACTCCCTTCCAATGCAGAGACTCCCAAGACTCCCTCCTTAGCTTCTCCCTGCCAGATCATCCGATGGCCAGGAGGCTACTACCTCCAGTCTTTCACCTGGTCGCTCAAGAGGCATTCAAACTTTCTTCCAGCGGGCACGTTGTGTACCTGTGATGTGTTACCCCCACAGCCCCACCCTAATTGTACTGAAACTCCCTCACTCCTAGTCCTCTCCTTGCTCAGCATGACACTCAGCTCATCTCTCATTCTGCTCTGGAGTCTTTTTACACAGGAAATCATTTACCTTTGCATCAAGATTGCTCAGACGGGGTAGAGAAAAGTTCTGTTAGGTCCATTTCATCTCAGAGTCAGAGTTTAAAACCAGAAGGGACCAATACATAGAACTGGAAGGAACCGCAAAGAGTCACCAAGTCCAGTCCCCTGCACTCCTGGCAGGGCCAAGCACCATCTAGACCATCCCTGACAGGTGTTTGTCTATCTTGCTCTTAAAAATCTCTAATGATGGAGATTCCACAACATCCTTAGGCAATTTATTCCACTGCTTAATTATCCTGCCAGGAAGTCTTTCCTAATGTCCAACTTAAATCTCCCTTGCTACAATGTAAACCCATTGCTTCTTGGCCTATCATCAGAGGTTAAGGAAAATATTTTTTCTCCCTCCTCCTTGTAACAACTTTTTAGGTACTTGAAAGCTGTTAAGCCCCCCCTCAGTCTTCTTTTCTTCCAGACTAAACAAACCCAACTATTTCAGTCTTCTCTTGAAGGTCACTTTTTCTAGACCTTTAATCATGTTTGTGGCTCTTCTCTGGACCTTCTCCAGTTTCTCCACATCTTTCCTGAACTGTGGCACCTAGAACTGGACACAATACTCCAGTTGAGACCTAATCAGACAAAGCAGAGCAAAAGAACGACTGCTCGTCCTGCTCACAACACTCCTGCTAATATATCCTAGAACGATGTTTGCTTTTTTTTTTTTTGCAAGTGTCACACTGGAGACTTTTAGCTCATGGATCATTATGACCCCTAGATTCCATTCTGCAGTGCTCCTTCCTAGACAGTCCCTTCCCATTCTGTATGGCTATGTCTAGACTGCAAGCCTCTTTCGAAAGAGCGCGTCTAGACTACAATACGCGGATCGGAAAATCGATCCGCTTTTTCGAAAAAGAGCGTCCTGACTGCTGGACGCTCTTTCGAAATTCAAAGCCACCCGGAACTGCTTCTGCCGGGGCATGGGGACAGCATTTCCTTCTGGGTGCTGCTGCCTGCCTGCCCTTTGCAGAGACGCGGCGTGGTGAAAGGGACACTCCTGAACACCCGTTGCTCTGCTCCTGCAGCTGCCTTTGCTGTCCCTCGAGGAAGTAAGCAAGGCATTGCAGTGCTGGTTTGGAGTGCTCAGCTTCCTGGGACACCCCAGCAGCTTTTTTCTCTGGAGGTTTTTTGGTTTGAGACCCATTTTTGTGGCATGGAGCCAGAGCTGCCCCTGGGCAGGCGATGGCCCCACACCATCATACTGCAGCTGTTGCTGCATCTGCATGACACAGTCATGAGGCTACTTCCCCAGCTGGACCCAGACCAGAGGTACGAAGGGCTCCTCCGTCAAGCAGCCGCACTGCCCTTGCCTCCAAACTTCTTTGTGGACAGGCGTGTTTGGAGG